GTAGTGGTTTGTCTGCCCGTTCTCTGCCTTATGCCCTTCCCTGTTTTTGTTTGGGGTCCTCCTGGGATCCTTGCCACTGGCTCTTCTTACTGGGTCGGATGGGGGCTGCGTTCATTGAACGCCGCCTTTCCTTGATGATCTTGTTTAACATATTCTATAGTCCAGTTTGCCATTTTTTAAGATTGGAAGGCTTTTGTCCGGAAGGGCTTTTGATGAGATTAAATATTTTTATGGTGTCGAATCTGTCTTCCTTCCAAGATATCTTTTGTTCGAGCTTTACTGCCATAGCGGCTAATTTCCTCAAATGAAACAAGTCTCGTTAGTTTTGGAAACGGTCTTGAGATTGATATATGATTTATGCAAAATATTCGAATGACATGACTTCATTAATTTATGTTGAATAAAAACTATATATGTACCCGTCATTTATTGAACGGATACCGTTGTCTCTATTATATAATTAATTTAAGGTGCGTCTTGTCTTTACTCGCAATATCTTTAATTATACATGTATATAGCTCACATAAAGCTTTCTCAGTTATCCCGGATAGAATGTACTCAAAGATTTATTGCGGACTTGAAAGTGAGAAACATATTTGGGCTATTACTGAAGAAGTCTTTAAAACATTTATGTTTACACTAGACCTTTCAAGAGTTGTAAATAGATTACATTACGTCTGATAAAATACTGCTTTTCTTATATGGCTTAACGGTGCTTTAATAATATATTAGCCTATAAAACATAAAAGTGAGCCTTCAATATGCCAAAATATCTCTAGAGGCAGTGGCAATGTGGACATAAATGTATAATAAAACTTTTCAAAATCATCATAGACAGTTACAAAATTAAAGGTTACTATATGGTTGAAAAGAGTACATGTACATTCGAATCATTGCATAAGATTCATACGATATGAAATAAATATTAATTTATCTTTTCACGTATGCTTTAGATAAGAAGGCTTCACAGCCATACCGTTTCAAAATTTTATTTATTTACTTCCGCCCATTGTGTTCTTAAGGACACATGATTTCATTATAAGGCACATACATCACGGCGATGTTCATAAACTGGTACAAATGTGTCACACTGAGTTTTACCACTTGTGTATAAACACATTGCCGGACGGTTCTGATTCCAATATGTCAACGTTATGATGGGGGCAACAAACTTTGTTTTCGACTATATGCCCTTTAATTTGAAAATTGTGCTTATTTCAAGGGTCGAAATTCATGATCAAGGCCAGCAAGGCTTTTTTATGCTTTTCATGTAGCTGACTTTCTTCCGAATGATTATGCAACATTTCAAGATTAAGCAATGATTTGGTTGTAAACTTTTACTTTTTTGCTTAAAGCTATGTCAAGGTCATTAAAATGGCCTATTGTTAAAGAATTTTTAAACAATATCAAGCTCGGATAAGTTGAAAATGAGGTCCGAGGTCCCAAATTAATGTTTGCTTAAAGTGCATCGCAGGCGGGCGGGCGAGTGGGCATGCTGGCGTCAATTGTTGGAACCGCGCAATAACTTTAGCTTGCTTTGGCTTATTAACACCAAACTTGGTGTGTAGGTAGCTTATATCAAGAGGCAGTTTGGGATTCTACCCAGGGTGTCTTTGATCAAGGTCAAGTTCACTGTGACTAAAATTAAAAATTCAGTTTCCGCCTAATAACTTATTTGCTGAACTGCTTAAAGTGTTTCGCAGGCGGGCGGGCGATTGGGCGTGCTGGCGTCAACTTTTAGTTTCCGCTTAATAACTTTAGCTTGATTTGGCCTATTGACATTAAACTTGGTGTTCGGATAGCTTTTATCAAGAGGCAGCTTGGGATTGCTACCCATGTGTCTGTGATTAAGGTCACTGTTTCTAAAAATAGAAATTAAATTTACACTCAATAACTTGAGTTTGCTTTGGTCTATTGTCACCAAACTTGCTGTGTAGATAGCTTTTATGAAGAGACAGCTTGGATTGCTACACAGGTGTTTGTGATTAAGGTCAAGTCACTGTAAATAAAAATAGAAATTCAGGTTCGCTAAATAATTATACCCCCGCACAACGAAGTTGTAAGGGGGGAATACTGGAATCATCGTCCGTCCGGCCGTCCGGACGTCTCCCCGTCCGGCCGTCAGTCAGTTTTGCCTTGTCCGTCCAATAATTTTAGATTCCTTTGACCCACAGTCTTCATATTTGGCATACAGGTTAGTCATGACTAATAGATGATCCCTATTGATTTTTTGAGGTTGCTGGGTCAAAGGTCAAGGTCACAGGGGCCTTGAATTAAAAAAGCTTGTCCACCCAATAACTTTTAATTTCTTTGACCCATAGTCTTTATATTTGGCATGGAGGCTAGCCATGACTAGTAGATGACCTCTATAAATTTTTCAGGTCATTGGGTCAAAGGTCACAGGGACCTTGACAAAAAAAGCTTGTCCGCCCAATAAATTATGATTCCTTTGACCCACAGTCTTTGTAATTGGCATGGAGGTTAGTCATGACTAGAAGATACCTCCTATTAATTTTGAGATCACCTGGTCAAAGGTCAAGGTCACAGGGGCCTTGACTAAAAAAAGCTTGTCCGCCCAATAAATTAAGATTCCTTTAACCCATTGTCTTCAAATTTGGCATGCTGGTTAATCATGACTAGTAGATGACCCCTATTGATTTTGAGACAGCTGGGTCAAAGGTTAAGGACACGGGGGCCTTGACTTAAAATACTTGTCCGCCCAATAACTTAAGATTCCTTTCACCCACGGTCTTTATATTTGGCATGGAAATTAGTCATGACTAGTAGATGACCCCTATTGATTTTGAGATTGCTGGGTCAAAAGTCAAGGTCAAAAAGGCCTTGACTAAAAAAAGCTTGTCCGCCCAATAAATTAAGATTCCTTTAACCCATAGTCTTCAAATTTGGCATGCTGGTTAATCATGACTAGTAGATGACCCCTATTGATTTTGAGACAGCTGGGTCAAAGGTTAAGGACACGGGGGCCTTGACTTAAAATACTTGTCCGCCCAATAACTTAAGATTCCTTTCACCCACGGTCTTTATATTTGGCATGGAAATTAGTCATGACTAGTAGATGACCCCTATTGATTTTGAGATTGCTGGGTCAAAAGTCAAGGTCAAAAAGGCCTTGACTAAAAAAAGCTTGTCCGTCCAATAACTTATGATTCCTTTAACCCGCAGTCTTTATATTTGGCATGGAGTTTAGTCATGATCAGTACATGATACCTATTGATTTTGAGGTTGCTGGGTCAAGGGTCAAGGTCACAGGGGCTTGACTAAAAAGATACTTGTCCGCTCAATAACTTAAGATTCCTCTGACCCACAGTCTTCATATTTGGCATGGAAGTTTGGCATGTTTAGTAGATGACCCCTTTTGACTTTGAGGTCACTGGGTCAAAGGTCAAGGACACCGGGACTTTGACTTCAAAAGTTTTCCGCCAAATAACTTAAGAAACCTTTGACCAACAGTCTTCATATTTGGTATTGATGTTGTTTATGACTAGAAGGTGGACCCTATTGATTTTTAGTTGACTGTGTCAAAGGTCAAGGTCAAAAGGATTTTTACCATAATGAGTTTGTCTGCTAAAATGCTTAAGAATGCCTGTCCGCATTTTCACATTTTAAGCATCTAGAATACACAACTTAGCAATGCACTGGCTTAGTAACCTCAGATTTGCCAGGGAGGTTGTCCTTGAGCTCTAAATGGCCACTTTTGATTCTGACAAAGTGGTATTGCTCCAAACTTGGTGTATGGGTCGCTTATATCAAGAGGCAGCTTGGGATCGCTACCCAGGTATATGTAATAATATGTCAGGGTCACTGTTACTAAAATAGAAATACAATTTCCGCTAAATTTCTTGAGTTTGCTTTGGCCTATTGACACCAAACTTGGTGTATGGCTAGCTTAATTAAATCAAAAGGCAGCTTGGGATTGCCATCCAGGCTTTTGTTAACAAGGACAAGGTCACTGTTACTAAAAGAGAAATAAGTTTCAGCTCAATAACTTGAATTTGCTTTGGCCTATTGACACCAAACTTGGTGTATGAGAGGCAGCTACCCAGGTGTCAGTGGTCAAGGTCGTTTTACTTAAAATAGAAATTCAGTTTCCTCTCAATAACCTGAATTTGCTTAAGACTATTGACACCAAACTTAATGTATAGGTAGGTTATATCAAGAGGCAGCTTTGGATTGCTGCATCGGTGTCTGTGATAAAGGTTAATGTATTCAGTAATAACTTGAGTTTGCTTTGACCTTTTGACACCAAACTTGCTGTGTGGCAGCTTTGGATTGCCACTTAGATATCTTGGAGCAAGGACAAGATCATTTGCTTTCAATAGAATTTTCAGCTTCTACTCAATTGCTTCAGGGCTCTGCTGTCAGATAAAAACTTGGTCGTTGAAAACCTGGTTTTCGTCGCATTGCGGCGCTTCTTGTTGCTTAATAAACTTGTAGTGATGAAACGTTCTCAAATTTTTACCCCTTGTCAGTGTAAACACATAGTTCATAACTTAAATTTAAGGACCCAAAAGGTCTATACCTTTATTATATAAAATATTCATTCACCACATGGAAAGTTCTGTTTCATTAACACTGTTTGTCATTTTTCTTGGGTTCGAACAAATAAAGATTTTGCAAATGTGTCCCTATGTGTCAAAACTAGGAACTTCATAGTAGGAAGTAGTCTCTGAGAGTGGTTTATATAGGCCCTGAATGCCTCTTCATATTTAAAGTGACTTCACACCTAAGCAAATTAATTAATAGCAAATTTTAAAAAATATAATACCCTTATTCTGGAATTAAAACAAGCAGAGTATGTAGGAGTTGATGAAAATACCATATCCGCCTGCAATGGTTTGATAACCAATTCTCTAAATGAGAGGTTTCACGAGTGTTATGATAACAAATTTAAATATTGATTATCATTTGCATTGTATAATTTACAGCAGAAACTGAAAGTTTAAAAAGCAGCGGGTTAACTGTCTTAAATAACTATCTGGCTTTGTGCCAAATGGAAATACCCGTCGCGTTTCGATAAAGCCTATAAAGTGTATTAAAACCCTGCCCATGTCAATATTTTGTATCCCTGTTATTGTTGAAGGCGAAGGAAATTAAAATGGAAAGGTATTTTGATTTTATTTTGCATGCTATTTTTTTTTAAAAATGTATCATTTATCACACACTTTTAAATTTCGTTTAATATAAAACGTTAAAATTATGATGTTTCCGTTAAGTAATTATACCTTTATTAAACAGAATAAAATGTCTAGAACAAAATAGTATGCTGCTATTTTAGGTTGACTTTTAACCGTTAAGCAATAGTTTCGTGCATGCGTAATTCAAAGGGAAATTCATCAACGTCTTTATACATACAGGCATTTTGGAATTACATGTCATTTTCAAATTCGTATATGATATATAATTTGTGTTATTTCAATCATCTTAGCACAAATCATATTTATATATCGTCCCTTGGCCTTTGCTATCTTAAGTTGCTGTAAAATATAATAAAGGAAGGATTAAGATTTTGTGAAATCAAATTTCACCATTTTCATGTTTAAATTTTGAAATCTACTTAAACCGGTGCTAGAGAGTGTAGATGGTAGCTTGCATTTTCCAGAACAGTCTAAGAACATAGATATAATGAATTCTAACCCCTCCCCCAAAGAAAAAAACCTAAGCTTTTCAGTTTTTAAAGTTGAACAGCATGTCAGGAGCACAAAGTATGGTTTTCTTGTAAAACTGTATTCAAATAAGCAATTTACCATCTGATGTCGTTAAAAAGAATGATAAATGCAACGTTATGATAGTCTGATACCTATCATTGCTATTATATAGCCACATATTTTCGTTATTAACTTTAGCATTTAATAACACTTTTTGATACCTTGATGCTATTTTTTAAGTTCTTATTTTAATCAAATTGCATCAAATATCTTTCCTTCCACATGATAAAACAACTTCTTGAAATGTAGGTACATCATTTCGGATCCTCATTTTTCAGTAAAAACCAATACTTCTCACACGAAAATCTAGAAAGACATATGATTTGGTAATGTAAATTATTCACATTAAGTTTCGGTAACGTAATATTTTCATTACTAGCAAGCTTCTGAAACAGGGCTACCGCTATCATCAATTAAAAATACTTGACTAAATTTTATAATCGTAATTAAGATTTAATTTTAAAATTCAAAAGTGATTTAAATACTTGCTTCGACTAGGGATTAGCAAGTCTGATTTGTATGAGGAGATGATTTAAAAAATTCGTTAGATTTTGGATTATGATATTTTTCTGCTGTCCTTACTAAAATATTGTTAATGTTTTATTGAACTAGTTTATGACTGAATCGTCTTCTGTCTTGCTATGCCAGGCCCTTGTAGGCGATAATGTTGCTGCTATGTCATTCTTTACAATAAAAAGGACTCTTGTTATGGTCATTTGGGTTTCTACTTTGACATTGCCTCGATTAAAAGCAACAAGTTTCGGGCTGAGACTGAGGATTGGTGCACAATCAACAAATCTAAACTCCCCAGTAGAGCTTATGCTGCTGACCGTACCGAGGCGCCCTTTTATGTTCCTTAGATGTATGTTGTTTTTATTTTGCCCCCGAAGGGTGACATATTAAAATCGAACAGTCCGTCTGTCTGGCTGTCTGGCTGTCCGTCATTCCGTCCCGCTTTATGCATAGGCAGTGGTGGTCGTGTCCGCTCTTAAACTTCAGTATGCATGAAAGGATTTTTATTTTTCTTTCACATATGAAATAACTATAGATGTATGGTGTGTCGCGATCAAGACCCGGGTTTCTTCATTTACGAATTCTGTATATCTAAAAGTTTATTCATGAAGTTGAAATTGTAAACTCGAGAATTAAGAAATGTAACCACGTACTTCCAACATTTAAACCTTTAGATAAATAATGTTTTATGTTTTGTTTCTCTACATTCAAGGTGATTTAATACGTGTCTTGGTATAACAGTTCTAGTACGGTGAAGGGAATCTCCCTTTTCATTTTTAATCGCTTGTAAACGTCGACGGCGGCTCTAAATTTTGTCATTAAATGAAGACGAAGTGCCGATGTGTAAACTTTTTTACGCAAGTTCCTTCAGCTTTGACTGTTCTACCTTTATTCTATTATAAACAGACTGAATTTATCTTTAAGCACACACAACGATAATATATAGAATCTTCATTTTATCGAGTTATTATAAAAACGGTATTTACTTTATGTCTACAAAATACAATTTTAAATATTTTTGTTTTGACATTACATGATGACCTTATTCTATGACATTTATGGCTACCCGAATATAAGTATATTTAAGTCAGCGTGATAACAAGCTTAAAAATACATCGCTTAACTAATACAGGTATAAGATATGTATTTTGATGTACAAATAGTATCCTGTTAGATAAATGACACATTGTTTTGATATATTCTTATTCTTTGTTTTTGTAGGACCTTTGAATAAACAGCTTCCCGAATTCAGTACATTTTTTTCCTTTATTATCGACGACTTGGCATGCAAATAAAATTCTTCGGCCACCCAGATATAGGGAACATTCTGAATAATTTAAAATGTTCTATCAAATTAAATTACGACTGTTAGTGTAGCCAAGCCAATCAAATCACCATAAATAACCTTTGATTTCAAGATTTGTTTTGTTGTTAGTGTTTTGGCTTAAGCAGTCATATAAGGTTTTCTTCAACTCGCAACTAAACCTCTACTTTTTGCCTAACGGTTTGCTCACATCCTTTTAAAACTTGTGACATTCCGTATTGGTCACAGCTAAAACAGAAAATGGTATTAAAATTAAAATAACTATACTAAAATAAGAAATTAGAATAAATCAAATAAATCATTAAGACACAAACAAAATAATTTGAAAATAATGAAACCTTAATAATTATACAACTTGTTATCTACGAGCTTCTGGTTCAGTCGAACTGTTGTTTCACCTTCTCACATTTTTTAGTAAACGAAGTTGATTCAACCCTGGAAAGGAAACTTTAAGAATGTATAATTTATATAGTGTAATTTTGTAAAGTTTTAATAATCCCCTTTCGTGAAGCGAGAAGGGGATTATAGGAATGGCCTCCGTCTGTCAGTCCATCTGTCAATCTGTCACTCCGTCCGCTCTCACGGACAGTAATAATGTGGCTTGAGGTCATTCATTCCGTAATGCTTTTATTTGGCTATTTTTTTTTATTTGGCTAAAAAAACAACAATTATAGTGAGAACAATAGAGTAGCCACATTATTACTGTCCCGTTAGAACGTCCGTCTCTCCGTCCGTAGCACTTTCTAGTTTGCATCATATTTTAAACTGCTGATTTTTAAAGTAAATTGGCACTAATAATCACCATTATGATACGATATGCAGAGCGCAATTATTGGGTTGCTTCCCCAAGGTCAAGGTCAGACTTAAATGTCGAGTGTTTTAAAGTCTACATCTTGTGTCCGCACCATAACTTTTAAACCGCTGGAAAATTTGAATTAATTTGGCACAAGTGATCACCATTATTACATGATGTACATTACATAATTATTGAGTTCCTTTATCTAAGGTCAAGGCCACACTTAAAGGTCATGTGTTAAAAAGTATAAAAAAAAGTGTCTAAGACATAAAATTCAAAACGCTGCAATGTTTTAAGACGATTTGGCAGAAATCATCACCATTATAACACGATGTGCAGAACCCAACATGAGGCTGCTACCCAAAGGCAAAGTTTAATATATTCTTAGCTTTTAGACTTTATGAAATATTTTGATTAAATTTGCACAAATGGTTACTATAGTCATGGTTTGTTAAAAGTCAAAAAGTAAACATTCATGTCAGTTGTGGAAAGGGATTTAGCTGTCTTTCCGACTGCCTTGTTGCCTTGCTCCTGGCTGGCTACATAAACTGTAGTGCTATTATCTATACTTTAGAGAACATCGTAAACGAAAGTTGGACAACCGGACGTTCTCATAAACTAACACCAGTGAAATATCCAAACGATGAGTCACCAAACTGAGATAGAGAAAAGAAAATACCGAAATTGGGTTAGAGGTGGATTGGCATATAAATATCTAAAACAAGGACTGGAAGGCTTTGCTGATGATGTTGTTAAACAAAATCATAAAAGAATTCTCAAGTCTATAAATTACATACCTGGTACCATCTGTAGTCGATGCAGTATTGGAAGTATCCGGCCATTACATACAAGCAGAACAGATTCTGTAGGTAAAATTACGTGTCGATGGGGTCAACATAGGTGTAATTGTTTACACACAAAGAAGGAAAAATGCCGTCTTCATATTTGTGATTACATCATGGAAGAAATATTAAAAACCCACGGATCCACTCCGCCAACACCAAACTGGGCAAATACAGATATACAAAAATGGTGTACAGAACCATGGGAGGTTGCCAAATGTTTCATAAATTCACCTGGATATTCAGACAAGACAAAGGCTGCTGATATAGACATATCTGGAATACTCCATGTCTTCATTAATAATACCAATCTTCATTCTCATTTGGCATGCTCTATGACTGGAAAAAATAATTTCATTAAGGTAAGTTGTATAATCTTTTGTTTAGAATACAACATTGTTAAAGACATTCTGCTTGTATAATTTATTTAAGCCGGTCTCATGGAAGGTAAAGATTAAAACAAGAACTCATTACTTTGTGTATTTACAAGATTTTTTTAATAATTTTATTTTTAAAGTAATGTTCGCACATTTACATATTAGTCGAATTGGAAAGTTCAATAGATCATTTTCGGGGTATTTTGTGAACCTTAAGGTACTCATACTCTCATGCTTTTCTGCCAAATTTTAACACCGGCCAATATCGTAGCAAATCGGTTATTTCCAGAATGTTATTTTTTCAATAGCTTAGGCATTAGATTATTTACAATCATAATCCTTTATCGCTGTGTACTTAATTCCGGTTATATACGGATAAAAATTATGGAATACCGTAGATCGTGAAAAATAACGTTCCGAAAATTACCGTTTTATTACGAAATTGGCCTATCTCAGTTTTTTTTTTTTTCTTGGCGGGAAAGCGTTACAGTAAGATTACCTTAAATTTATGTGTTGTGAAAACACAGCATGTGTTTTATAGCTCTATATTGTTGCCCGTAATAAAGGTAACTCCAATAGGGAGCATAAATACAGTTAAACACTGATAATATCAAACTCACAATGATATTTAAACTCCGAGGTCCTTGTAAGCATTTAACAAATTATTTCCTCATATATCAGAAGCTTTTAAAGAGAACCAAATAATTTATAATGAACTAAATGTTTACTGTTTCTGATTATGATATACGAGGGTGCTTCAAAACGTAGTGTTACTTGATTTATACAATGATGACGGCTTAAAGTGCCTCAAAACGATCATTCGTGCTCTGTAATACACTGAAGGCCTTCAGTCTTCGGGTCTTGGAATAGTCATAGTGCGGCAGCACCTACATTCATTGGCTGTTGGCATGATTATGTACTGGTCACATCTACACCTACAATAGATAAAAATAAAATCTAAGTTAATAGATGAGATCCTCTCAAGAATTAAATTATTATAAATCAAATACACTTTTCATCAAAATTGCATTAAGGGGTTCCACATAATTTGGTGCTGCAAAAATGTGCTGAACCTTATTTGTTTACTAAGGTACTTTTTGAGTATGTGTATTTTCTAAGTTATAAAAATAATTACGATTCGTTTTGTAATAAATTAACAAATGTTTGCAGCAATTTGTTACTGAAATTTGTTATAACAAGGGCAATTCGTAAACCGTTAAAAAGGTGTTCCAGCCTGTGGATTCACAAGCTATATGCCACTTCAAAAGCGTTCTGAAGCCACCATTGTCTAAACTATTTCAAAACGTACTAATATTAGTTCCTAGGCCGATAATTTATAAACTTATACATATTTAGTAAAACATCGCGGCGGTGAAAATAGCATGAAGCAACTTAAACGCTGTTTTTGTGTTTGTGTAGCTTTTAAATCGGACTACAAACCTAATTAAGATTTTTTGATCAAAATATCGGATTTAAGTATGGAAGCACACAAGTAACATTATTTTTGAAGTACCCCTCGTATAGTCTTCCCTCATCTGAGTTTGGGATCTCATTCCCATTTGTTAAGCAAAATAATACTTAAATAATCCGAATGCCTTTTTTTAAATGACACTCACATGTTGTAGAAAATGTATTTATCAAACCCAACTAAAATTGAGAGTTATATTTTTCAACTACTAACACATGTATGTCAGTATATGATTTGCATGGATACCAGCTGTCGATTTTGGACATGATAAACTGTCATTAAAATGTCTTGTTTTTCTAAACATTGTTTCTTTAAGTTGCCTCCGAAAAATGGCGTTATTACTTATTGATGTCATTGTTAAATAGGAAATTTGTTAATGTCATTAATATGTTGATATCAGGCTATTTGTGAATGAAAACTATATGTACAAAACTTATTAAAAGATCTTATTGTAAAGGTGGCAATTTATTCAATTAAATTGATATGCATGACACCAAAAACAAATAAAAATACAGAATATATGAATCGTTAGTTCTTTTAAAGAATCGGTGTAAACATGTTATTTTCAGTTAATTTTCGTCATTTTTTGCACAACTTTTAGGTACGAGAAAGTAGAAACAAATTATTTCATTCAGCCACCATGGAAATGGAAGACGGGGAAGTGGCTGAATGCATAGATGATATAATTGAAATTCTCGATGACAGAAAGCAACTCAAAGGAAGACTTGATGCTCAACAAGCTGTTAACAAACTAAAACAGGTAAATAATGTTCACTTATTATGTGCAAATTTTCTTTTGAGTCTTTCATGTTCTTTTCGAGTTTATTTGTAACGATATAAGTGTATTCTGCTTAATCTTTTAAACTTTATAGACCTAATATAAAAGTTCATAAACGTTTTTTATGTAAATTTTCTGATACAGATTATTATGATGAAACTTTTATGCAGAGTTATAATGACATGGAGCAGAACTTTACAAAATATATTCATATTTAACATCGAAAATACAATATGATACATCATTAGGTAATATCAAATACATTTGTTTACAAACAAAATGTTAAGATACGAGGGTTGTCCAAAAAATTCGTGCACTACAGTCATTGTCGTGAGAGTTATTGATAAAAAGGCATGAATTATATATCACTTGAAGCGGAAATCTGTCTTAAATAAGAAAACCAAAGAAAAATCTGTGTAACCGGCGTGTCGTGAAAAAGAATCATCATACAGTTACCTTAGTAACGTAATACCGGCGCACGTCAAAAAATTGGTTTAGTTTATTACTTTGATTGTATTAATTTTTGTTGCTTGTAAAGTGGCATTTGCTTTATATGTCATAACTTGTTTTACTGCCAGTAGAGGAATAATATATGCAAAGTATTTTGTAGTAATTATTGTTGTTATGCAACCTACATGTAACATATTCCACCAGTGCACGAATATATTGGACAACCCTCGTCACATGCGCCGGCATTACGGACGGACGTCTGCCTGATCGGTTGTCATCGTCTACCGACTCTCTCCCATCTACAGAGCGTTTGTGCCATTTATAAACCAGCCATCAAGGCAATGAACTGGTCCAGCTTGCCATTTTGAGTTCTTTGTACGTATCTGCCGGTGTTTTATCAATACTTGCGCAAAATTTAATGATGATCCGTATTTCCAGACGTGTAGCGATTGACATTTTCATGTAATGACAGTATTGACAACCACACGGAAATATTTGTTTACGACCGTTAAAATTCGGCAAATGACATCATATTTTCAAGTGACTTCAGGAATACATATACACACTTTTTCCTGAATTTTGACGTTTATATGTAGTATTTAAAGGATTCTGTGATGCATCAAATTAATGAACTAACCCAAATTTTTGTCGTGCGCCGGTATTACGTTACTAAGGTAACTGTATGACGATTCTTTTTCACGACACACCAGTAACACGGCTTTTTCTTTTGTTTTCTTATTTGCGACAGATTTCCCTTTAGAGTGATATATAATTCATGCCCTTTTATCAATAACTCTCACGACAATGACTGTAGTGCACGAATTTTTTGGACAACCCTCGTATTCTAAAAAATAGTATTTGAACATAACAGTACTAGCAATTCTTCTAACAACGTCACAGGATATTGTATATCATATTTTACACAGTGAGTCTAACCATTCCACCGAAAGTAGAACTCATCCCTCGATAAGGGCGAATGATATATTATAACCAGCTGCAAAACTAAATAAATATTTAACAGTTTTTATTCTGGAAAAAAATGTTTAACAGTTTCTATTCTAATGAGATAAATTGGAATTCTTTATGCATGAATACATACGAATATCATATGATAATGAATCAGGTGAGAGAAAATATCTTTATATTATTAAAGAATAATGCATGATTAAACAAACAAACAAATACAATATTATGAAAAGAAAAGATAGGGAAAATATGTTTTTATTTTCAAAGACAGTGTTTAAAAGATGAAAATATTTAATTGTGTTTTTCTGATTGTCAAACTTTCCTTAATGTATTTTGCTAAATTCGTCAATAAAAGCTTGGTTGAATTGTTTTCAACAACTGAGTTTATAAGTTCATTTAAACGTCGATGGTCTACTAATTATATATATTAACCCATTAAAGATCTTTAAGATGATGACGTTGATAACGTTGCTTGGTTACGACGCCAATACAGCATGTCCTTTATAGCATTTTAAAGGAACATAATAATACGTTTTAATAATATTATTGTAATATATATATATATTTCACATATATATATATATCAAAGTTATTTCGAATTCAACTTCAGTTTTAGTTTTAAAACGTTTTCAATACAGTTTCGTTCATTCTTCTTTTGGGTGTGTCTGGTTCTCGCACTTTATAGATAGGCATTATATTCAACTTTGGAAAAATATGTCTTGTGCAAATGGCAATGTGTCGACTGGCTGGTAATAATGTATTGTCTGGATTTCGTATATGTTGGTTGTGTAATGTTACTCGATTTCTTAAATTTGAAGTTTCTCCAATATAATCTTTGACACAACCGTTACGTTTCAATGCATAAATGACATCTTTTGTCGCATGATCCTGAAAATTTTACTTTAAATTCGCGGCCATTCTTGAAATGGTACGTATTTCCTTCTATAAAGTGTTTGTTGAAGCCGCGTTTTAAACTATCGCATCATATTATTTTATTTGTGTTGAAGAAAATCGCGCTCTGGTTTGTTTTTTTCATATTGTCCGGTTGTCTTTGACTTTTAATTATGTGACTGCTTTCAATAATACCTTTCATTATTTCATCATTTTGTAAAATTGGTAGATTTTCGTATATTGCTGTGGAAAATTCGGTATTCCTTGAATTATGTGTCGACACGTATGGTATGATTTTTCCGTCCGTCTTTATTTTTGTCTTCCGTAGGATTGATTGATGTATTGCTAAAGCTCTCTGGATGCAGTTTTCTGTAAGGTTCTGAGGATATTCAATAGAAGCAAGGAATTTCTTTAATTGATTCAATCTGAGATGCAATATGTTTTTATTTTATTTATAATTGTACAACGTCGTCTAGCTACTAAGAATGGGGTGTTTTTGTGTGTTTTTGATTACAAGAGATAAATAAAAGATATTGTAAACTGTCAATAAGTTTATAGTAGATATCTGTTTCTATCTGGTCACCATTTAGTTTAAATAAAACATCCAGAAAAGGCAATTTCGCTGTGCTATCTTCCATTGTGAATTCCAAATCTTTATGAGGTTATTGAGTATTATATTGAAGAAATTCAATTCGTGCTTTAATTTAAGCCATACAATAAACACATCTTCAAGAAGGCATTTCCAGTAATTCATGATGTAGACATTGAATTCGGTATTTTATTATTGTTACCCTTTATTTATTTTTATACTTAAATTTCTGCAATTTTGGGATACAGCAGTTCCTCCTCAACATAGCCTAATACAAATGTTGCATACACTGGAGCAAATTTCGTGCCCATAATAGTGCCTTTTATATAATTATTTGTCTAAAAACTTTTCATTGAAGTAGAATGTTTTATTCTTCAAGATGAATTCTGTGGCTGAAATGATGTAAATCTTGTATGTATCACGTCCGTATGATTTTTTTCAACCCAAAATATAAAGATTCAACATCAAAACTTGTTAAGATGATATATCTTTCCGCCGAACCAGGTAATTAGTTTTAAAAATCTGTGCTGTCTTTTATGTTTCTTCTTACGAATTTGGTAAATGGTCGTAGAGGATTTCTAAAAGGTTGCTTAATAGTTTGTTTTTTTGCTAGGACCTGCAACAATAGGTCTTACTTTAAAATCAATGACATTTGAAACATTAATTATTGTTGATGATTTTTGTATCCAATACTTCTCAATTATCTGTTATCTGTAAACCGTAATAGTTTCTTTGTTTCACTTCAAACTTTGTTAAAAAATCATATTCTTTGTACTAGAAACAGGTCGGAATCGATCAATAAGTTTTTGTGTCGCCTTGAAAAAGGCGACATATAGGGATTACTTTTGTCGGCGTCGGCGACGTCGGCGTCCCCTTAAGCTTGTCCGGAGCATAAGTCAGTCATTATAAGTTGGATTGACTTCAAACTTGGTATTCATGCTTCTTATAATGACCGAAAGTGCAGTGCGCAAGAGCTGGTACTCTGCACTTCTTAATTTTTGAGTTATTGTCCTTTGTTAACTTTCTTACTTTATTTTTGTCCGGGCCATTTCTCCTAAAGTATAAAAGCTATGGACTTGAAACTTCATAGGATGATAGATCTCATTAAGAAAAAGTGCAGTGCACATAAACCGGTACTGTGCATTTCTTATTTTTCGAGTTATTGCCCTTTGTTAATTTTCATACTTTATTTTTGTCCAGGCCATTTCTCCTAAAGTATAAAAGCTATGTTCTTTAAACTTCATACGATGATAGATCTCATTATCAATAAGTGCAGTGTTCAAGAACCGGTACTCTGCACTTCTTATTTTTGAGTTATTACCCTTTATTTATTTTTATACTTAATTCTTATCCAGGCTATTTCTCATAAATTATAAAAGCTATGGACTTGAAACTTTATAGGATGATAGATCTTATTGATAAGAAGTGCTGTGCACAGAAAATGATGCTCAGTATTTCTTTTCTTTTTTTAGTTTTTGCCCTCTTTTAATTTTCGTATTTCATTTTTGGCCTGGCCATTTCTCCTAACTATATTGTTCCGACTCGCGGAGTTCTAGTTTGTAATTTAACTTGTCTTTATGATTAGGATCTATGTCCAAATATTTATAATACTGTGTATCGTTGAGTTAAAATTCAATCATTTCAATCTAATGAGAGCAATCCATAATACCCCCTTTATTAGCTTCATTGATTACTATATCAGGATCATTTACAAATTGTTCAATAGCTGTCTTCTCAGATTTTGAAATATTTGATTTTACTGTATTGTTTCTCAATTGATTTTTCGGATAATTATTTAAATTACCTTTAAATTTTTCTAAAGATGAGTTCGTGTTCTTAGGTGGAGTAAAGTTACTTCTATTTCTGACAAGTTAAGTGTCATTTTCATCATTTGTTCCGTTACAATATTCTGCTCCTATTAAATTATATCATTATGTATTTCTTCAGTGCTGCTTTTAGATGTAGTAGGGTAAACTCAAGGCGTTTACTTAAAGTGTTTATTTGTGGTTCAGAGGGTAGTTTAGTTGAGATGTTTATTACCTTTATATTAATTTCTGTTGTATTTGAATCATCATTTACCGAATCACCCGTCTGCGTTGGCCCCTGTACAAAAAAGCTTTTATCGAAAGTAATCTATTATACTAGTTTGCTCGCGATTTGTTTTTTTATAAAAGACTTTGGGATATTGGCGATGGTTATTCATTAACAGACAACATTGTATAAATTAATAGAGACTTCCCCTTATAAAATAACTTAGTGTGGCGCTTTGCACAAAGAAAATTTCGCAAAAGCAATGCAATACGATCTTAACAATGAATCAAAAAATAAATCTTCGACGCGACACGCCAGCGGAATTCAATAAAAATGTCGCCTTCAAGGTCCATTACTTTTAGGAAAACATTCAAAATAACACTAAATTGTTGATTTGAAAGTTTTTTAATCAATTTTGAAGTAATTAATAAAAATGGCACCTATTTTTTGACAAATATAAAGCGGCGTTCTTGATACTGAAGAAGCTATCTCATTCAATTTTGTGATTCCCTTTTAGCCTGTCCATGAATATAAATTTTGGCACTTACTGAATGATTGAATTGTCGCCGTCTTATTTGCAAGGCCTTTTTTAGATTGCCAATGCCGCCAGCACCATGTCGATGATTCGATCACATTTGGACAACTGTTAATATTCTATATTTAACCAAGCTCTGTGTAATAGTTTATATTGTGTGCCGAGGCAGGGGTAATGTTAGGACCATGTTTTATGCACGACAAGTTGGCAGACTTTTTTTAACGGTAAAGGAAACACTTAAGATGTGTCTGAACGTTATAGAAGACATTTAAGTTAATACTTGGTAAATGTCTAGCAACGTAATTGTGTGATATTTTGTATTGAAATTGCATACGTAATAATGAGAGAAATGTTCTACATGGCAAAGCATTCTTTGATTTTTTAAGCAATCATACGTTTTTTAACACGGATATTTTTATATTGATATTGATTGCTTTACAACGGAAGTGTCGAGAGCTCTTATTTGAATATATCACCAACATGTGAAAGAACCAATGCTCAGTAGGGTGACTAAATGTAAAATTTAAATACACACGTTTATTAGAAATATTGTGTGTAATAATGGAAAAATAAGATTTTGAAAAATCTCGGTGTTTCAGTCAATGTATGTAAATGATTTTGTCAAGCTGAACGTTTCAGAAGGGCTATATTTAATTAGAAATGAAAAATCTGCGAAAACAATAGAAAAAGAAACGAACAAAAATAAGTTTTTACCACATGATTTGTATTTAATGGTCCTAAATTTCTAATTTGAAAATTCATCAGTGTAATACTTTACAACAATAATGTTAATTTATGTTTTAAACCTATATGTATGGATCTTTAAGCTGTCAATTGGTATTGATAATTTCTTCTTTACTATAACATATTCTAATTTTCTTCGATTAAGGTTCATTTTTAGATAATTTATAGACTCCATTTTTAATAGAATAATAAGAACACAATTGTTTGATTGAATATTGAATTCAGTCGCATTGTGATCACTATGTATAAAATGTAAAACAAATAAAAGAAAATAAGGTTTGTCAGAATTATGCATTTTATTAACAATTATTTAACTTGCAATTGTTATGACCTGAAAAAGCAATAAAAGAACATTCAAAGGCCGGTTACTCAAAAAACTCTGTCGGTTGCATAAAATGTTTCTGTCATCATATTAAAAAATCATGCAACGTTTGAATAAAGTTTATAATACATTTTCATTCTGCTATATGCCTTTTATCTTTTTGTAACTGTAGCATTTGCCTTGAAAGTGAAAAGTGTATCCTAAAACTGTTTTCGCATGTTCAAAGAAATTGTAGTTTTACAGGATCAATATCACATGTTGATAGATTAGAATATTCCCTGACCATTGAACAATAAAAATATATACCTAAATAGTAGTTATACATCAGTTATTTTATGTGTCTATTATTTAAGTCTATTTGTTTATTGCTATTGCCAGTTGAAAGAAAACAAATTTGTTATAACAACCAACAATGAGGTGGATGTATGTAAAGAAGCATTAATGTTTGTGAGCAAAACATCAGATGAGTTAAAGCAAACGATCGAAGATGGGAAAAGGGAAGTGAAAAACGTCATTGATAAAGATACGACTGCTGCTAGAGAAAGCATACATGAAGCTGTAAAAGAATTTGACGAACACAGGGCAATCCTATATGAAAGAGTCAAACACATGGAAACAGACGTACCTAAAAAAGTAAAGAAAATAAAAACGGATGTTTCTGAAAGAGTAGGGAAAATGGAAAAAGTCGTCAATGAAAGAGTTAGGAAACTTGAATATGACGTATCTGTTTTGAAATCAGATATATCTTCTATGAAAGAAGTATAAATTTTCTTTCTTATCATTGGTTTGTTTGTTTATTTCTTTCTAATCGTAAGTTATTCTATGATAAACTCATGCCTGTCTCCTAACTATTGTGCCAACGTTCATTATTTCTAGTCTGCATGATATCAGTTTTATGTCTTATCCAATTAAATCTAGCTCGTTATGACCATAATTATGGCGTGACCGTGACATTGTGCATGTCATATCCGAGTTCTCTCTGGGAAAATAGTACTTCATAAAATGTTTTATAACAAATAATTTCTACAGTCAAATCGTAAAGGTATACTTGATTAATTGCTGATTAAGAAATTTTCGGACTCGTTGGTTGCACAATTTATTGACATTGATTAGGGACAAGCTAACCAGGGTTAAACACCTATATTATATACATTTTTTGTACCTTTCATTGAAGATTCTTTATCTAGCGACAAATAATTTAAGGTTAAAATCGATATGACTCAAGGCTACAGAGATTTTGTCTGCCTTACATAACTGTGTTCCTCTTTTGTTTCATTAAAAATTTAACAAATTATTTTTAACAAAATAGAGAAAAATAAGTTTTGTTAAGAACTCCAAAAACTGCAAAATTAAAATTGTAGCAGGTCGGATTGATTTAGTTTAGAAGATAGTGGTAAGTCAAGCAACAGCTCAAGCACCCAAGCAATAACTTAAACTTATGAACCATTGTAACAGACAAGTTGTGGCTCAATTTTAAATTTTGTCATATGTATTCTCATATATATTTGCATACTTGCAATTGTTCAAAATATGTGTTGAACTGTGAACATTTATTTTATTGTTATATAAAACAGTATTTTAATATGTTACCTATTGTACATTTCAGCGACAGGCGTCTTTAGAGAACAAAGTTAAAGAACTAGACAGTGTACGTCAGATATACAGGAGAAGATTAGATTTCGTAAAAGAGAAACAAGGTAGCTTTTCGTTAAACTGTTATAAACAAAATTTTATCAAGTGAATAACATGTACTTAAGATTACCTAACAAGCATTAGCTTTATTATTTACTTTTTTCTACAAGCAGGAGAGGGATTTTACATACATGTCTTAAACTACAATGAATAAAATTATGCTGCCAGCAGAGCTGCATCAGTACTATGGTGTAGTACTTAAGTACCAGTACCAGTACTTGGCAAATTATGCAGTACCATTACCAGTACCAGTACTAGATTTTAGCTCGGTACTGCAGTACCAGTACTTTTTTTGGTGAAGTAATTAAGTATCAGTACCATTACTTTAATATATTCATCAAAGTTTGAATAAATACAGTGTTAAACAAATAATTGCAAATATTATTCAGCAAAGAAACAAAATCATAATTTACTTTAAAGCTGCATGCCTCCAGATGACCCAAAATATTACAAGAAAATTAAACTTGGAAAAAAATTACTAAAACTTTGAGAAAAGTAAACAAATTAAAGATTCAAGTGATAATTTATATCTTATGTGCGATTAATGACTGTATTTTGTAGTATTTATCACTATATTTCTACTGCGTTACTAACGCAGTAGGGGCTATTTATGCATGTTTTGACCTCTTTTTGGTAATTTACGTGGATTTTAAGTGCTGATTGTAATGTGTCAAGTACTTTCTTTGTTCATTTAACAATATTTTACCTTTAAATACATTTTCAAAATGTTCATGAAAATTGGGATGAATCTGGAGGCATGCTGCTTTAAAGTTAACATAACATATTTACAACTTTATAGTTTTAACATACTTTTTACAAACAATATCTACAACATATATTCATGTCATATCTAATTGTTTAGTAACCAGTCAACTGCATAAATACAATGCAAACATCTTTCATTTAAAACACAACAGTCTTTTGTTGCCTTTCACACCTTCACACCTCTGTTCAATTTATACCGAAGTAAATAACAACTTTTTATGGTGATAACAATATCACTTTTTTCACTTGAAATGGGATTTTTTAGAATAGAAGAAATTAATTAGTGTTTATTTTGCTCTTTTACTAGTAAATACAAAGTAATAAAAGATTTTAATAAGGATATTTTAGGGTAAAGAGTTATTGAGTTTGTTTATCTTAATTTAATTTTTACTTAAAGTCTTTGGTGCTTTTTATGATGAATACTATGTTAACATTTGAAGGAATATTGCAGCAAATTATCTTTAGATTTGATAACTTACTTTTTCACAAAAATAAAATATAGTTAATGTAATTTACAGCTTTATTTTATGAGAAAAATTGATGTTATTTTTAATTTTATCAAAACCAAAAGTACTGGGTAATGCAGTAGCAGTACCACTTTTTAAGACAGTAATGCAGTACCAGTACCAGTAGTAGCAAAATTTTGTAAGAGTAATTCAGTATCAGTACCAGTACTTGCAAAATCGCTGCAGTACCAGTACCAGTACCAGTACCAGTAATGCAGCTCTGGCTGCCAGTTGCTTTTCATCTTGTGAATAGAAAATAATGTACTTAAGGGCAATGAAATAGCACGGTTGGGATAATTGCATTTTAACAATGACAATATATTTCTTATTAATATTTTGTTATGGTTTTATATCATCAATATAATGCTGAAATGAAGATTTTATTTGTAAAGATATTACCGAAATTACATTTCGTGTTAATAAAGGGAGGTAATTGGAAATTTATTTTCTATAAAAATCGGGAAATAAAGTGATCACTCGGAAGCATAAATCACAACAAAATTACATGAAAATTGCAGACTCGGTTTTGTGTTGGCTTTATGTGTTGACCACATATAATAAAGGTATAACGCGAGATATGTAAATCCATGACTTACGGCGATTCAAAGCATTTTTGGAAATGTTAATACTTGTACTATTTCTTACAGTTTGTAATACTGCACGTTTGTAAAGTCGTTTATGTTGGAAAATCGTTACGTTGTTATAAAATGTATTTACGGTTGCAGTGAATTTATAATGTTATTTTCTTTATCTTAAATAAGGAACTTTGTTGTTTTATAAATTCATAATGCATATTGTTGAAAGGTGATATGGCCTAGCGGCGAGGGTTAAATTTGGAATATAACGTTTATATACGACTATATCACCGGTCAAGAATCTTTATAACCATACAGTATGTGGATATATGTATTTTGTGTAACCATTATCTTTGAAATAATATTTACATTTTACAGAACTTCAAGGTGAGCTTGTTAAATATTACAAAAGGTATTATGTGAAGACATCAATATCTCCTTTGAAGCAACAACAAGATGTCATCAACGTTAAAGATGTATATGTACCTCCCGAGATGGAAATCATCGAGGAAAATCAATGTGCTGATAGCAATAATAGTAAGCAAAATATGTCAAAAAAGAAATATGTAAAAGGATATCATGACATCTTTCAAACGCATAGGCAGCAGAATAAGAAGATCTATATAATAGGCGAAGTTGGAACTGGAAAAAGTACTTTCTGTAAGATGATGATTGAAAATTGGTGTAACGCCGTGACTGGTGAAAATAGAAAAACGATTTGTGAAGGAAATATTACTGAACAAACGAACGCCATAATAAGCGATATGAATATGGCCAATACTCGTACGCGGGATGATGATGTCAATCAGATGGAACAATATGAATTCCTTTTCTTTATTCCCTTGCAATATATGCCATCTCTTAAGTCTGATGTCACTGTTGATATGATCAAGGAACTAACAAGAGACTTCACTTCCGATACAGACTTGATTGAAAGAATATTTCAAGAAGACTCGAGACGGTGTATAATCATCGCTGATAGCTTGGATGAATGGACGCCTCCTAGAGAAATTGTGCGAAAACCACACATTAGTTACGGAATACCAAACGGAGACCGAGCTAAGGACGCAACTATCATTACATTATCTGGACCTTCGGCTAAAGGAATACTTAACTTAAAAAAATCAGAAGTTGACATCAAGATAATTTTAACAGGTATATCTTATAAATCATTGAATTTGTTCATCATGCAATATTTTTCTCTCGCAAAGTCAACCAGAAAGTCCTACAAAGATTTTATGGCAATTTTGAAGTCAAAACAAATTAAGCATGTTGAGAAGACGCCATTGCTTTTGCAACAACTGCTTTGGTTATACTGTAATGGTAAAGAAATAGGAAAATCCGTGAGTGAAACGTTCTGTCTGATTTTGAATGCCATCTTTTGTTGGTCAGACCACAAGAAAGAAGGACATGATTCACATGCAAGTGAAACTGGTTATGATCACAAGGCCGATAGCCTGCCGGAAGTATTACAAAGATTTCCGAGATTAGGAACCAACAAACGTGTTCTGTTTCGTCTAGGAAGAATTGCTTATGAAACTTATTTATCTGAAAAGATAAAAACAACATTTGGTATTTCATATCTTATCAGAAAGGGTTTATCGAAAGGTGATATCAAAGAGCTTACACAGTTTGGTCTCTTAAATGAAAGCAACTGTTACGACCCAACGCTGAAAGATACAAGATTTGCTTTTACCCACTTTTCTTATTTGGAGTTTTTCGTCGCTTTGTACTTTACCTTATCGTACAGTACGGAACAAAGCGCGTCTATTCCAGGCAAAGTAAACGACAGAAAACGTATGGTTTTAAAGGAATTCTTTGGTACATGTACATCAGCTAGTGACGCATTGCAGTTGTCTAATGTGATTAAAATGGTTTGTGGTTTATCACCTATTCTGATAAGTGATTTGTCTGCACGGATAACATGTATTGCAAATCAGGATGAACACATTTTACATCTTAGGAAAAACATGTATCAAGAGATAGGTTGGAATGACGAGATTGTTTTGATACAGCGTCTTATGGTAAAATGTCTAAAAGAGTGTGGCACTGATGACAAGACAATAATCAGCCTGAGTGACCTTTATGTTGATGAATTTGAACCTATGCCACCTCTGCACAGAATCAAGCCAGAGGACGTGATTTCTCTTACCATTAATTCCAAATCAGTCGTTGATTATTTGGGATTCACTACACAATGCAGTGAACTGCAATACATGCACATTTCACATATTTCTTTCACAGAAATGCCAGAATTGACATCATTATTACAACAAGTATTCGTAAAACAGCTAACATTGAATAATGTACCAAGTTCACTTCCTAATTCTGGTTTTCTACCTGTTTTTATAAGTGACCTATCTAAACAGAACAAGCTTCAGATTCTTAAAATGGCTTACTGTAAGAATTTAAAAATTTCTAACCTCAACACTGAACAACTTGAACAGGTACATATTAAATGTTGCACCGAGATATTAGATTTTGATATTTCATCAAAGGCAAGTAGACTGACTGAACTGCATGTTGAATCTTATACTGGTGATTTGGTGTCACTGCCATCAGTATTGCAACAAGCACCATTAAGACAACTGACATTATATGATGTAAAATGTAGCCAGCGGCACAAACCTGATACACCTAGTATCCATAATAAACTTCATTATATTGATCTCTCTAGACAGAATAATCTCCAAAACCTGAAATTTGAAAGATGCTATGATATAGTCATTACAGCACTTAACACTGAAAAACTTGAATACGTTGTCGTTGACAATTACAATATATCAGACTTACAATTATTATCAAAAGCTAGCAAACTCATTGAGCTTCACCTAGAAACAGTAAATATAAATATAGAATCTTTGACACGCCTTTTACAACAGACATCTTTAAGACAACTGACTTTAATACAAGTATCTGATGTTAAATGTGATATGCCTGTCATAGATCTTTCCAATCAGAGCCATCTCCAGAAACTAGTGTTGATGGAATGTGAAAATATAACGATAGCCAAGTTGAACACTGAACGCCTTGAATTGCTTCATTTTTCACCCGATGTACTTGATTATTCTCTAGTATTAGATGCAAGCAGACTGAGTGAACTTTTCATAAATAGTGAAAACTTCAAAATAAATCCTTTTCAATACACCAAAGAAGTAAGCAAAGTAGTACATTCGTTGCATCAACTGAGAAAACTGAAGTTTTGGTGTATCAATGTTGATGATAATGCGCTCACTGTAATACCGGAGATGAAAAGTCTTACAGACATTGAACTATGCACATATAATTGTATCACTTTGGAGACGTGGGGTACCTTTCTTGATAGTCTTCTTACTCTTGAACAATCTGTTATGGTCAACTTACACGCTGAAAATACATATTTATACACACTCCAGGTTGCTAAACATCCTTTGTTCGAAGTGATTATCGATAGAAAAAGATCACTTCACTTTAAAAGAATAGATTTATATATATAATGTTACGTAACATTTTGTATGAAATTGAAGAAGAGAACAGATCATACAGTATGGACTATATTAATTTTCATGATTGCTTTCTTTTTAAGTATTGAAAAAAATCTTTATTTTCTTATTTTAACAGACATAGCAGTGTCCACATGGTAATTAAGTAATGCACAACATATCACTCCTGGTTACGATGGTCACTATCAATCAAATGCCGAATGATAGCTAAGAAGAAAATCATTTCTTTCTCTTTAAAGATAGTTGGAGAATTTTGTTTTCACTTAAAATACTATTGATATTTAAAATGTGTTTCTCCTAGAAACATGACTGTATATCTTTGTTTAGTAATTTTTTTTTTTGACTGTATATCTTTGTTTAGTAATATTTTTTTTCCAGAAAATAATTAATGACATTCAGTTAAGTATAATCTTATATGTGCAATTTGCAATTATGCTGAACTTAAATTCTTTGAATTTGACATATTTTATGATATTTTCTTGATTATATCAGGAACTGAAAAGCAAACATGTCGAACGTATCAATAAGCCAAGCCACTCAGTGCACGTGTTTTATGTAATAAACTGGTCTGACTCTCTTGTGACAATTCAGTCCAGCTGGGTGACGATAAAATCACATATATGACAAAAGCATGAAAAATCATCAATTTTTGTCAAGTAAATATATTTGGTGTTTATATATTTGAGTATGTTTGTGAGCGGTTGTTTGCACTTGACAGTACCGTCCATGAACAGGCTCAATCAAATTGACCTTTTTCAATTTTGCCGTTTTGGACTTTCTTCATGGATTCTTATATTTTGTATTTGACTGAAAGAAAGGAATTAACATGCTGCTGACTTGGCAGTCAAATCGAATCATTTTGATTGGTCAAATCGATAATTTCTTAATTCATAGACTGCACTTCATTGATTGATTTCATAATTTCTTGTTATTACTATTGTTTTTCATTGGTTAAGTATTTGTTAAGTACGTGTTTTATTGAAAATGTCTAAAAATATAAGGAATTAATCAAAGAGACAGACATAAAACATGTAAATGTACATGTACATGTTTTAAGCGATGGCTTTCTGTTATGCTTTTTAATGTTCAATTACTGTTAACAATTGTTTGATTTATTATTGTAAATAGTCTGAGTAAAAGCTATACTAAAACCAAATAAGGCTGTGTGCTTATATTTTAAACTAAAGAATGTTTAGATGTATCCTGGAGATATGTTATTACACGTTAATAGACTATGAAACAACAGAGAAAATCGTATAACCAAAACTTAAAATGTACTGTTTTATATAAATACATTGAACATGTTTGTCATGTAAGATTTAGGTTCCAATCGAGCGTTCACAACGGAAAGCTCCGCCTATGCCGTCTCAACCACACTATCACATGCAAAATAAAAAAGATCAAAGACAGTGGCACAACAATTAAACAATGAAAGCAAACTATTTATTTTACATTGTTGGTCAAGTATCTGTGACCGATTAAATTCTAAATATTTTTGCTCTATGTCTAGTTATATTCATTTGACATTTAAATAAGCGATTTGCACTTACTTGAACATTTTAACAATTAATAAACATGCATTGCTGCTTACCTTCTTGGGCTGAAAAATGGTTGGTAAAATTTATTCCCCTTAAAACATTCTACTACTGTTAACTCGAATAACCCATCCCTCCAACCTCAATGCATGGCACAAGTCAACAATTAAAATAAATCAAAATGTGTGAAAGCTGTGTTTCCATACTGCTATATTATTTTGGCACGCTTTCGGTATAGCCTCAATACATGTATTCATGATAGAAATCTAGTTCTTAAAATACATTGTCTATTTAAATGCTTCAACATGGATTGAGTACCGCTTATACTATCGTGCTAGAGGGATGTGAGAGTTTTTGCATTTTTTATGTCTCATCACGCACGGCAATCTCATGTTCCACTTCGAAATGTTCGGTCATTATAACGCCAGGAGGTTCTTAATGTTGCGTAGTACTGAATTCTGCAAGTTCGTGTTGACACACACTCACTTTGTACTTACCCATGAACACATTAAATCCAACTGGAACTACAACTATTGTATTTTCTTAGTAGTGGATAGGACTTAACGAGTCCTTTGCCGTCATTTTTATAGTGGTGGGTAATTTTAACGTCTCCCGCTCCACCATTTTTGAAGTGGTTATACAAATAAAAACCAAAGAAGAGAAAATAATATCTGTGTAGTTGCATAAACTTTAATAATTCTTTATGATATACATATATTGAATTTGCTGCTCTGTATGCAATAATTTCGTATATATCAAAACCATTTCGTGTTGATGTTACACAGGACAATGGGACACTTTATTCACCATCTTCTTCACCCTACAAATGAAACAAAACCATAAACTTGTGTTTTGCTTAACTGGTATACTTAACATATTTCTGTCGAACTACACAACATTTCTTTTTCATTTATTTCATATCTTTAAATCAAATAGTCAGCACTGAAGCATTCCAAATAATATTTGAAATATTTAATAACGTTATTATCTCTGTTACTGGACATCTTATTTACATGAAATGTCGTTTTCAAAATGTTAAGAAAGGACAAATATGAATTTGGTGTCAACCGTTTTTTCTTGCCAAACAATGTTGGACAAAGTTTTAAGAACAGTTGACACCGGCGTATCAATTTCAACAGAAAAAAACACATTCATTTGGCGGTAAATAAATGGATGAATAAATATTCTTTTATTTTTCTAGAGCATTTTATTTGTTTGTTCAGTGCTGTCCAATTTGAGAAAAGAAAATAGAACTAAATAATACCTTTGGTTTTGGTAAATTATTTTGTGAGCACCAAGCTGAAAACGCTTCTCTAACAAAATGAATCACGTCAGGTGAATTATTTTTGCAATATAAACGTATACTCTGTTCAGCAAACGTTTCTGGTAAAAAATGTGAAATCTGAAAATAAAGATTTTATTAGATATCAACAAGATAGTTCATTCTGTTGTTGCGTGCGTTATTAATTGGATATGTTAAAGCGTTCACGTCACCTCTTGATAGAAGTGTGTAAATATTTTGTTCGCAGTTATGCACGGCACAGTAAACATGAAACAGTTGTAGAATTTTGAGTTGTTGTAGTAACATGGCGTTTGCCCTCTGAATAAAGTTGTTACCAGACGCCACTCATGTCCCAGCAAACAAAAGACGTTGTACCAACGTTGTATTGACGTTAGACCCTGACGTTGGGTAAACGTTGGCAGAAGGTTGGATTTGAAAGTTTTTTAGACGTCAGAAACCGACGTCTATACAACGTCATAAAATGACCTTTATCCAACCTTTTCTGACCATAATCCAACCTTTTCTGACCATAATCCAACCTTTTCTGACCATTATCTGACCATATAATCCAACCTTTTCTGACCATTATTTGGACATTATCCAACCTTTTCTGACCATAATCCAACCTTTTCTGACCATAATCTGGCCATTTTGCCAACCTTATCTGACCAAATTTTTCTGACCATGATTTAACCTCATTCAAAACTTTTGGAATATGATTTTTTTTTCATTTTGAAGCTCTTTAATAGGGTTAATAAATAAGCATTTCTTATGATTTTAGCAATTTATTTTTATACTAGGAATCACAAGTACAAAACAAGAAATGTGTGGTACTATAACAAATGCAATATTTACATAATATTTTTTGAAACTATTAAACTTGACGGTATGTACTTTAATAACGCTTCATGTATTAATTAAGCATGTTTTTAGAAATAAGATAAACAAAATCCTTAATTGAATATTAACACTGACATTTTATATAGCAAACATCCATCCATGTGTTTTTTCTTATATCACCACTGAACTGATCACTCTGAGTTTGGGATTTTTCAATCATCTATCCAACTCACTGATTGTATATTTGTCTTTGTATTTTATTACTGAATCTAGATCTGAATGTTAAATGGAACAATATTCTGAATATTTTTGTTATAACTATAAATAGCAATGTTTCATGTACATGTATCTTCATTAGGTATTCTAGCTTCTTTCGTCCTCCTACACTATGTCGATCTGGGGCATACTTTAAGCGTATCATTACCGTCTCCAACCTGAGATCTCATCACACTTTCTGAAATTAAAAAAAATAAAATAATCAGTTACAAGTGCAAGAAATAAATCACTTATACATATTATAATTAAACGAAATTCTAACAAAACTCTCCAACTACTTAAAAAAAGATACTTATTATTTTTAATTTAGTTTTAAACCATGTGTAGTTTCGTGTACCTACTGTATAATCTATTAATTTTGATAAAAATGGCTTCGTGAATTTCATTATAAAATCAAGGGTAATAAGATCACTGTATTTTCTATAATATTTTGAAATATACCTGTCACAAAATCTTGGTAGGTTTTCATTTTTCTTTTCCTCTAAATATTTTCATCTTCCTCCTAAACTTTTTGACACATGTTGAATTATCATAATTTTCACAATCTGAAAGACGAAATATAATCGTTTTAGAATTTAACCATGTGGTGGAAGGATGTTTGTCTAATAAATAGGCAAAATCCAATTACTATTAATCTTAGTTAACTCATAAGCGCATGAAAAAAAACTGATATAACAAATACCAAAATGAAATTAATTCTACTCCCGCAAAAATTGATATTGTTATTTTTTTATATTCAATGTACTTTGTACAAATGCTCATACAACACCAAAGAAATTCACATGTTACTGTCATTATTTTTATAGATATCATCTCTGCCCAGCATGATCTGGTCTGCTAAGTGTATATAGGACAGACTGGCTTAGTGTAAAACCGTTTTATGATACAAGCATACAACTTGTTGATAAGCAGGCTAATTAACAAACTATTACTTTTATTGATTTATAACTATGATAATGTGTTTTCTGATGGATAATATGTTGTTTGATTACATTAATAAAAAGATAGCTAGTCAAATACAATGTGCTTTCAGATATATCTTACCAAAGTCGTATCATTTACATGTATCAAAATGCCATGAATCATTATCATAATATAAGAAACACATGGTATGCTAACAGTATGGGTCAATTAACAACGAGTAGTTTAACAACAATCAAACTGCATCTGATACATGTGTAAATGACTGGCCCCCTCATATAAGGGAAATTCATGTTGATAAGAAATAAGAGGAAATTTAATTTTACCAGCATTTGAATAATAAGAGTCTTACGTACTGCATTTAACTTTTTTATTGATTTCAATTGCTAGGATATTTTCCTACCGTTGATTGTGCATTTATTTGGCATGGCGATATAGTGTGGGAAAATTGATCCGATTATACAGACTGTTCTATAGCAAATGATAAAGTGTTTCTTACGTGGAAACAAAAATATTTATAATTATCTCGCGAAATCACGTTACATTAAGTTTTACCAGTCAAACATTTCAATGATCAAATAAACCATCGAATCCAAGCAAACATGCGGTAAATTAGCATTGAAAAACAATATATAATGTTTGCCTACCTTTTTCTTTTGTTTGGAATATACAACTTTGTCTGTCAACCCGTCGTTTTTTTGTCCGCCAATACAATTGAATTTCAAATCCGATAAGTCGCATATTCGAATTTACTAAATTATTTACCACTATAAAATGAAGCCCTCAAAATGTTTAACAGCTTCAATTGTAAATTATATAAACACTTCTTAGGACTAATTCGAGGAGATAAGATATTATTTAAACGAAAATAGAGCAAATATATTTCATACTGATCTGCGACTATCCGTTTACAGAGGCCACCTATCGAATATCGTACGTTAGCCACCCACGTGATACTGTTGTTTTGATGGAGAAAATGAATATATAATGTTCCCTTTCTAAACTTAAACTTAAAATTCTCGCTGTTTATGCTTTCATTTATATATATATTGGTTTCATAAATTAAATTCACCTATTGTCAGATTACCGACCAAAACCCGACGTCGAGTCGACGTCAAAATGAAACGTCTGTTAGACGTCGGGGATTCAACGTCGATTTGACGTTGTATGAAGGTCACCGACGTCGCGACCAAAATTCAACGTTGACCCAACGTTGGGTCAACGTCGGGTGTTTGCTGGGGTATAACTTGATAACTCTATTTTGTCAAGATTTTTCACAATATGCGTATTGCTTGAATTATCTTAACTATATATGACTTTATAAGATAATGATATAAATGGACATTGAATCGTGCATTATAAAACGGTATTGAAAGTTTTATAAAGTATTTACTTCAAAAATCCTTATTCACATAGACAAAGTAGTAAATGTCATGTCAAACTGTATGTGAAAATGTCTATTACCTGTGATTTTGCTATGGCCACTGCTTTATTTTCATCTATTTTACTGTAGAATCTTACTTTGGATATTGGGTCGTTTGTCTTCATGCCATAATCAAGTTTCACTATCTGTCATCAACATATTTCATAAAGTTATATTTAATTAGACTTAAAATTGCAACGATCAAAACGGAGCTATAATATGTAGTTAGAATAAAAAACAGAGTATAAATCTAAACTAAATATGGTGCAATTTTAATTCAGTACCATTCGATCATAATAGAAATTTGAAAATTAGAATTCTTATTTATATTTTTGAAAAGGAATTACATTGAATCACAATGATATATCAATATCAACCATATCAATAGAATTAATTTAAACACATGTTACATGAAAAATGATACAGTTATTTGAGAATTGTATGAGATTATAGAGGGTTTTTGGGTAGTGACCAGTCAATACCCCAAACACCTGTGATTAATAAATGGGTCATAAATAATTATGAAATATATCCAATCTCCCGAATACATACATCAATCTCCAAATCAAGCTTTTTAACATCAAAGTTCTCCAACATCTCGTCGTTTTCATTTTTAAACTTCAATAAATATTCTTTAATGTGTTCAGGATCATTTATATTTCCATTACCTGTAGCCTACAAATATAACAAAAAAAGATGTGTGATATATGAATGATATTTTAAATACGTATTTTATTTTTTGTTATAATCTAAATGGCACCGACAGCTAACAACATATATAACAATAGTCTTTTCTGGTTGAGGAAGACCTTAGACGGAATTTAGTTTAATAATATTTTGTTATGCAACTTTACAAACATGTACTTAATCTCGGGCACTAGAAAAGAACCAACAACGTTCCGTAAACTAGCAAGATAGCTTCCTCAAATGAAAGATTTCCAAACTTTTCGAACCCAAAGCGGTGAAGGGCATGCGATTTATTGTCAACGACTTTATACACTTGGCCACAGACTCCACATTTATCGATAAGTAGAAATACATTCCACCATCTTGAATTGTATAAACTAATTTTTCGATTATCCTCTATTTTGTTACAAGAAATCCTTGTTTCATCATGCAAGATTACATAGGCCCGGCTTCTTCTTATTTCCTTGCATAACGTGCTAAGACAAAGTAATAGGGGAGTACCTTGGCTAATATTTTGGGAACTAAAAATTAACTGCTCCCTTTTCAACATTTTTTTCTCCTTTTTTATATTTTAATTCAACATCTTATAATATAATTAAATTTCAACAACTGATACCTTTCCTTGTGTTTGTGCCACATACTTGTAGAGTTTTCGGTTCATTATGTCCATCAAAATAGATTTAGACGTATTCAAATTTTCTTCAGATGAAAGTAGTATTGTTCTTATGACTGTATCCGTCAGTTGACAGTATGCTTTCATATCATCTATCGCTGTCGACATGCTTAACTTATCACTGTATTAAAAAAAGATATAAATAGCGGCTGAAATCTGCAAAAAAATTATCTTGACGGTAACGCACGGTTATAACGAGCAAAATGATACGCCACCGTGTTAAACTGGCATATTTATGAAACCAGTTCAGTAATGGAGCAAAACAATAAACTGAAGGCTTCGCTTTACTGAATTCAAAATGTTGAAAATGAAGGTTTTTATGTTTGAAAAAAAGAGTATGCAAAGAAAAACTCACATACCCATTTTCGCCTTCAAATATTAGAAACTCGTCTGCTGCAACCAAAGCGTCACACATCCTATAACAAGTACCAGGTTAAGATTAAAAATTTATTTCTATGTTTTAATACCTGTAATGAAAATCACAATGTTGATATGAAACATTTTCGACGATTTCTGATTTCAAAAAGCTCTTTCTACAAATACGTTTGTTACAACACTCTACTTGTATATAACGGTCAATTTGACATCATTGTTCATGTAAACAGCATTATGAGATATTTTTATTGACTTATGCAGTTTAGATTTACATGATGCTTTTACAATTTGCAAAAGTCGAAAAGTCGTTGATTTGCAGAAAAACAAACGTATTTAAGAATTGAATATAAAATTTGAAGGTTGAGATTTAAGTCACAACGAAACAAAAAGATCAAATGGTGACTGATGGAGGACGACCTCGTGTGCTCCTCCATGCATTAATTCAGGTCTGAGCAGGCTCTGGAATGGAGCCATTGACAATCCGTAAGCTGAATGGACAGCTTCTAACATTAAGGAATTAAAAGACCCTGCTATGTTTCAAACCCATTTTGACTAGTGCTTCAAAATAAGCCATCAAAAGAGCATCTTAAGTAACATAATAATTCCCCACCGAAAGGCGGTTGGGGATGTAAAAAAAAGTCTCCGTCCGTCTGTCTTTCCGTCCGTCCATCCATCTGTCCGTCCGTCCTTCAGTCCGACATTTTTGTCCGGAGCATATCTCAAAAAGTATTTGAGTTATCAACTTGAAACTTCATAGGTTGATAGACCATATTGAGGAGGAGTGCAGTGCACAAGACTGATAACTCTACTCTGCATAATTTTTCAGTTATTTCCCTTTGTTACTTTTCAAACTTTATTATTGTCCAAATCATAACTCAAAAAGCCTTTGAGATATCAACATGAAACATCATAGGTGCATAGATCTCACTCAGAAGGTGTGCAGTGCACAAAAATGATAACTCTGCCTTTCATATTTTTTTTAGTTATTGCCCTTTGTTATTTTCAATACTTTATTTTTCAACTTAGTGGGGCATAACTCAAAAAGTCTTTGAGATGTCAACATGAAACTTCATAGATGGATAAATCCTATTGAGGAGGAATGCTGCACATAAGAATGATAACTCTAGCCATTATAATTTTTGAGTTATTGCCCTTTGTTATTTTTCATAGTTTTTGTCCAGAGCTTATCTCAAAAAGTATTTGAGTTATCAACTTGAAACTTCATAGGTGGGTAGATCTCATTAAGGAGGAGTGCAGCACACAAGAATGATAACATACCCTGCATTATTTTTCAGTTATTGCCCTTTGTTATTTTCAGCCATCAGTATTCACATAGGTTTCAAATCTGTTATCACTTCAGCCATCAGTTTTCATTACCAAAGAACTTTTTTAGATTGAATTATTCTGTTCTACTACATATACATGTACATTCTCACAATGAGCAAACACATTCGGCGGGGGATGGCCATGCTAACATGGCTCTTGTTAAAATTTGTTTTCAGTATAGAGACATAATTCTTGAACATTAAATATGCAACACATTTATGATCATGATAATTAATATGACCAAGTAAAACGTTAGATCTATGAATTTTGTCCAGATTTTGATTCCTATGGTTTGTTGAACTTGAACATGTTAAATGATACGTTGGTAAAGTTCATTAACATTGTCTACCTTTTTAAATTGATCAGTATAGTTAAGAAGATATTACTAAAAAATCTAGATATTATCTGTCATAAAAATGCTTACATTTTTCCTATGATATTATGTGTTTTGTGTTGATATGCCTTCCTATGAAGGGTCATTCTCGTGTGGAACATATCGTATAAATCATGAGCCTCCTGCAATAAACGTTTTACATGTTACTTGTTCTTATTGTTACTGCTTTTAAAATCACATATCAATTTACCGATTACTTTAAGTTATTAAAAAATACAGAAACAACAAATTATCCTTCGGAAGCATTAATCACAACAACATTACAAGAGAATTGCAGACTCAGTTTGATTGAGTCTGTACATGAGGGATAATGAATACGTGCAACATCCCTCACGCCCCCTAGCACCTGCTTAAGTGGTACTCAGTTCTCAAAATAGAGAAAATAAGGCCCTAAAGAAAGCCCAACACAGCATAATTGAAAATGTTGCAGACTCGGTTTGTTTGAGTTTTATAAAGTTTTATGTGAAATTTGTAAATGTGTATTTTTTCTTATTTATTTATTTATTTAATCAAAACTAAAGTAACATAGTAAAAGATCATATCTTTCGATTTTAGGTCAATGAATAAACCGGTAGTTATGAATACATACTTTATCTCTGTAACATATTTGCAGCCTTCCATCGGCCTCTAGCACTCGGGCACTTGTTATACACCGGGTGTGATCGAATGAATTTTTCATCCCTAGCATGAAGCAGTCTCTCGCAAAGTAATCCCATTTGTCCACGTCAATACCGTTGGTTTTATTTGCTACAATCTATATGCAAAACTTTCAATTTAGAAAGTTTTTTTCCTCTAATCCTTAATAATTTTTACTTATTTGGACGTGTTTCTGAAATATCCTTTCAATTATTATACTGACTTTATAATTACCAATGAGATTTTCTGAATCAGTTTATAATTTCAAATTGACCAATGAAAATCGATTATAAATTAAGTTCTTCCCTGTATATTTTACAGGAAGTCAAACCGTTCTCAGACGACTTCGTATAAATCTTACTAAATAAGTGCCATCGTTACTGGTATAGTTTTAATTAAAACAATATACGGATTATTTGTGCATTAATTTGGTAACCTAAAACATAAATTTATTGGTAAAATTGTATTTGAAATGTGCTTGTTTAGGTGTTGTTTTATTTACATTACAATTACTTGTCTTACCTCGTACAAAAAGCTTTTATCCCTTCCTCTCCCACGATAGGGCCATCTCTACAAAATATATAAGATATATATGAACATTTAGGCACATATTTCAATGACTGAAATAGCTGGAAACAAAAGATCTTTATGTGATCTGTCGTTGCATAATACTTTACTTTACTTTATCTACTTTACAGAGATGTTAAATGAAAAACAATACTCGATATACAGTTAATGAAAATGGAATAAAGTTTTGCTTTTATTCTGAAGTTAATAACAAGATGAAGGAACATGTACAGTAACAAGAATAAAAAAAAAAAAGTATATTAAGAAAACCCAATTTTTTTTGCTACTTGTTGTCTTTGTTTAAAAAAACTTTTTTTACATCAAAGAATATAAGCCGTATAGCCATATTAAATATGAAATCTATATGCTAAACTTCGCTATGTCTAATCAACATATCAAACTGTCCCTGTCATAAATCAAACTTAAATACGAAAAAATACATATATAAACTACATATATACCCCATTGTCGATTGCTGCAGGAACATCAATAAGTTCTTTAATAAATATTAAATCAACTTCTTTAAAATCCATCATTAGTCGCTGGAAATGTTTTTCCAGTCTCCTGTCATTGTCCCTTAACATATAGTCAAACATATCAACAGATGCTTTCTCGTGCTGAAAATTATAAAAAATGAAAGGCATCAAGATACATTAAATCGTTTCTATTGCTGTTATTACTTTTTTTTATATTCTTACATATGATATCGAGCTCTTGCAATAGCTTCTATAACTTGCAATCCAAGTCAAATTATTTACTTCAATGCATAAAGCTTTTATAACTTACAACCCATGTCAAATCATTTACTTCAATGTAATAAGCTTCTATAACTTTCAATCCAAGTCAAATTGTTTACTTCAATGCATTTAGCTTCTATAACTTGCAATCCAAGTCAAATTGTTTACTTCAATGCATTAGCTTCCAAGTTAAAGTGTTTACTTCAATGCATTTAGCTTCTATAACTTGCATCCAAGTCAAATTGTTTACTTCAATGCATTTAGCTTACAAGTCAAATTGTTTACTTCAATGCATTTAACTTCTATAACTTGCATCCAAGTCAAATTGTTTACTTCAATGCATTTAACTTCCAAGTCAATTTATTTACTTTAATGCATTTACCTTCTATAACTTGCAATCCAAGTCAAATTGTTTACATCAATGCAGACATATATGGTTACATCATTCAATGCAACTGCCAATTTCAAAATGTGAGTATGCCAACATTTTGCTTACTACTTGTTGGCAAACTGTCTACCGTTGTTGTATTAGGTGTATATATCCATATTCATTAACCATTGTTCTAAAATTGAAGCATTGACAACATACCTTCCACTTACATCCTTTCCTCACAGTCGGTATAAACTTTTGATCAAACAAATGTGAAAAAGGTCCATGTCCTGAAAAGGTATATATATTACTGATAAAGTCAGCATAAATAAGGCTCATTTACTTTCAAAGTATCAAAATGATATTGAAACTGAAATTTCAATATCAAGACAGAAAATAAGCTTCATGAAAGATAGAATACGTGGCTTTTTGCTTGGCAAATGCAAAAGCTAGTTATGTGGGGACTTCACCACAGATTGCAATATTCCGGAGGTGACAGACAAGTCTCAATATACAGAAAAAATGAGTTCACTAGCTCAGATATCACAATATGCGGCAGGCTTCTGCTTAGAAGCAGTTCCTAGATGTTGAGACCTACCTTACAAACGAAATTGAAGAATATAAACTGATTATGACTGGTTTTCCATTAACGCTTCCTCAGGTGATTAACAATTTTGCGTCGGCAAAAAGTGTTTGAAGTTAATAGCCATGTAGATTATGCAAACATCATTGAAAGCCACAAGGAAAACCAGAAACCTTGTAAAAATTTATGTCGATTAATATGCAAAATTGATGAATTAATAATAACTGATAGATCTAGTCATATGATCTTTAGGTTTTATAGCTTATATGTTAAAAATTGTTTTGCATTGGATTATGAAATTGAGTTTAAGTCTGTTAAATAAATCTTTGATTATTAGCATGACTAATGGGAAAAGTTATAAATGATTATTTCAAGGTAAAAATGTTAACCAATACACACAATATTTCCTTATTTTCATTTCGTAAATGAGGCTTTTAATGGAACTGAAATGTATATGAGATGCCCCCCCCCCCCCTAGCACCGGCTTAAGTGGTATTCACCCTTCAACACTAACGTGCTGGAATCACAATGATTCCGAAGGACCAAAACAAATATAACAACATTAAAGTTACCAACTGTTAATATGACAATTAAAAATCATTGACAATTTAAACGTTCACTGACTATTTAGTGTCAATAATGCAATGTTACCAAATTATTTTCAATATATGTGTATTATAATTAACAACAGTTTTATATTGTTATTTATGATCTTTTTTGCATTGGCCTTATTCCATCCCTATTATGTCTAAGTCACAAAGCAACAAGTACTTTCAGTGCCTGATTATTACTTGTAGTAGGGAAGTTTACCAAGATCATGACAGAGTCCAGCAATTTCAACACAAAGAATATCTTTGTCAGTTATGCCTACATCTGGTTGACGTTCTTTTATTGCTCGCAGCAGTTTTCCAGCAAGATGACACACACTGAAAAGGTGAAACGCATGAATAACAACATTTGAGTCGCGCCATAACAAAACCAACATAATGCGTTTGCGACCAGCATTGATCCAGACCAGCCTGCGCATCCGCGCAATCTGATCAGGATCCATGCTGTTCGCTGTCAGTTTTTCTACTTGTAATAGGGTTTGTAAGCGAACAGCATGGATCCTGATCAGACTGCGCGGATGCACAGGCTGGTCTGGATTCATGCTGGTCGCAAACGCACTATGTTGGTTTTGTCATGGCGCGGCTCATTTTAATGTTTCCTGTTATTACTACAGTCGACATTGTATTAAGAGACCACTCAAGGGTCTGCCAAAAAGTGGCCTCTTAATAAAGTGGTCTCTCAATAGAATTCTGGAAAATTCGAGACTTTTTTATGTTACAAGTCATAGATATAATATAAAAACAAAAATTGTACAATATTATATATTTGTATTACAGTGTCATAATTACATTTATGCCTTTCGTTTAAAAAAGTCATAAATATGTGTTTGGGTTTTTTTTAGTAGAAATTTATGTACAAATGTGATCTACGCTCATAATACTATTAACAGGTCATTTTGACCTTGAAACAAAGCATATTGTCATATATTATTAATATGTTCATACACATCTCCTGCTGAACATACTTTCAAATCATCGCAATGAGTTTTAAACTTCTTGATTTTTTCAGCAATTAGTTTTCACACTACCCCGATTTCAAAAAATTAAAGTTTTATCATTATTTTTATTTTATTTTATTATTATTTTTTTGTCGAAGTGTCATATTTAATGGGGTACTACATGTTTTTTATAAAGCATCAGATGAGCACCTACACCATCAGCAATGAAAGGCTCGGTTCTGTAATGTTTAGTCCACTACGTTTCACGATTTTATTTCGACTACAAACGATGGCATTTGCTATTTACTCAGACTCAATTCCATGCACGATTTCCTCATTCAATTTATCCGGTATCATTGGGTATGTCATTTTTTCGCTCGTTCCGACGATTTTTTTTTTTGAAGGGAGGTCACTCTGAGCACATGACAAAACTGTGCCAATGCGGTGTTGTGATACGTTATTGCTCTGACAAAATATGTCACAATAAATATTACTATCGGAAAACTGTTTCTTTCTTTCCGATTTTAAAACGATTGCAATTGTTATTCAATTCGTTTTTAAACGACAATTATTTGTGACGGTCTAATTGACGGCCGTTTAATAGATACTTTAAGATCAATGACCATGAAAAATATTTGTTTGTTCAAACCTACTCGCTAATTACACAGGTGAGAATGTCCGTAGGGACGATTGTTTGTCACGGCCGTTTAATAGATACTTTAACACTGAATTTTGTACATTTGGGCCGACATTTAGTGGCCGCTGGCCGCGATATAAAATCGTCGTTTAATGGAATTAACTTATATAGTAAAAATCATCGGGAGGGATTTTATGTGGCCGCTTAATAGAAAAGTCGCTTAATAAAGGTGGACGCAAGAACGATGCCGACTGTATATTCCTTTTAGGTGTGCAATGCCTAATAAAAGGTCGTTGCTGTTGCTGTTATTGATGTATGCTTAATAGCATTCTGATTCCGTTAAAATGTCATTTGTGAATGATTTGCAATATAAAACCACAATCAAACAAATATACTGAACAACAGATTTAAATAGTTGACCTCACTTACCCTAATGAATGTTCAAATCTATTATGACTAGCACCAGGGTACACCAGATAACACGTGCCAAGCTGTTTTATGTTTCTCAGACGTTGAAATTGAGGCGTGTCTATAATTTTGATACATAATGGGTGTAATTCTATATGTCCGTGAATAGGATCGTTGAATACCTGCAATAAGATGTCAATTCTTAAGTGCCGTGAAATATGATCGTTCCCATAGAAATCATACTCGGATCCAATCTTACCAATTTAGCCTCGTTTCCATTTCCAGATATCAAATGTTTCATACCCCATATAGCCTCGTTACAAAACATCCATATCAGTTGCATTTCACACCCAAAACAGCTTCGTTTTCATTTTAGAGTCCAAAATAACTATATCAAATGCATATAGTACTCCATCTAGCCTTATTTCAATTTTCAAGGTCAAAATTTTTATATGAATTCCTTATTGTAGTTGGAGTAACTTTTCTATAACAAGGAAAAACAGTGGAGAAATAAAGAGTTCAATTAACATTGTTGAGAAATGCCGTGAAATACAGTCATTATATACACATAATACTGTTTTCCTAGCAGTTACCGGCCCAAAATCTTACTTTTTAAAAAATAAAATAAAAATCTGTCTACGGACAAGTACAAAACTTTGACAGAACAAAGTTAGGTATCTGTAAAGCATTACCGTGTTTTTTATGTTGTGCTTTTACTTTACTTTTTAATTAAAAAGAGGCCCGAAATGTAACACCTTTTCTTACTTTTATGCATAATTTCATATAAGTTTTTCTGACCTTTTTATTTTGATTATAATTAAGTCCCAGTAAGCACTGTCTAGATTATAGAAGAAATAGAACTTCCAGACCTTTTCCATGTCGTCTGGAATATATTGTTTAAAAGAATTAATTTACATAGAATTAGGTCTCAGTTATTGCGCATGGGCATCAAACTAGAATTCCAAAGGTGTTTCTTATTTTTAAATATTGTACATTCCATTACGTAACTTCAAACAATAGGCAAACCTTTAAAACATATAAAAGGCTGTACTATTTTAACTGCTGTGTTGCATAGAAACGAACGTCTCTCTGATTTGATGAAGGAACTTAGATGCCTTACTTTTTTTCCAGATTTTTTTACTGGTAAAATAGAGTGAACTGGATAAAAATGATTGAGGACCGAAAACAGCTAGGGGCCGGAAACTGCTTGGAAACCAGTAACGTATCAATTATGAATTGCAGTAGAATACAGTCATTATAAACCAGCAATATAATATCAGTTCTATATAATCAAGAAATTCTGTCTGTAATAAAGATTCAATTTTAAATACCCTGAAAGTCGTTATATACCCGTGGATAAAGTTTTTGTTTATATACAAGAAGGTACCTGCAATATAATATCAAATTTTCTCCGAAAATGGGGCCATAATGTTTTCAATAATATATCAACTCACTTTGTCCGTAAATATGGTCATTATTTGCCTACAATGAGATATTAATTTGTTATAAGATTAATTGTATTCAACAATTTAAAATGCCCTCATTATTACACACCACATTTTGAAAGAGCTCCTTCGAGTACAATATGGAATTTAGACTCTGAACATGAAAACTAGGCTAGACGGAGTACAATAGTGGTGTGTTGTGGATTTTGGACTCGTTTAATGAGAACGAGGCTAGATAGAATACCATACTGATTTAACGCGGATTATTTGTTTTTAAAAATTAGGTAAATGAAAACGAGGCTTAATTTGCATTGATAAGATCCATTGATAAGTTATGATTGAAGATCAAATGCTGCAAAACGCTATAAGTCCAATGGCTACACTTTATAATGTGTAAATGATTTTATGCACGTAGATAGCGTCGTTATTTACCTTAAGATATTAATTCTAAATGTCGTCATATGACTTGTGAGACATCAGTAGAGTGAGTTGATATGGAGTAAGATATCAATTTAGGTCATTTTTTTGTGCTCTTTGATACTTACATGTTACGTTTGGTCTCATTATTGCATAGGTTTTGAAAAAAAACTTTACAAGATTAATTTATACATATCTCACCTAAGTGCTATAGTTTAATCTTAGTTTCATGCAATGTTCATAAAACTCAACTTACTGTTAACTTATTTGTATGGGAATGCAGCAACATGAAAACTAACAAACTATGTTATACGATTTCAAGTATTTTTGCTGTTAAGATTATACCTGAGAGGTCGCTACTCAGAGAGGTAATCTAGATAAAGAGTTATCTTGAAGTACACGTTAGTGGACAACATATGATAAAAGAACATCTTGACAAAAATACAATATAGCCATGTTTTATGTTGATGTTCTTGCTGTCGATGGTATTGTTGTTAGAAGTGATGTTTTCAAATGTCCAGCACAATGCTTCGTAATTACATGTACGTGTATATATCTATTCAGACGTGAACAACTGAATAAAACTTAAAATAAAAATAAAAAGAAAAAAAAACTTTTCTTCTACTAACCTTGGGCAATTCTTCGCTCGTATGGTCTTCTTCAGTTTCCATGACTACTGCTTGAAACAAACCCTGAAGGAGATACAAGCGTTCTTTAACATCTCATCTTCTATACTTAGGTTGTATATAAAGTGGGGTAATTAAAAGTATAGTTTGACATACAGTTGAGATTTTTAAAGGTGTTAGTGTTAAAAAGACTGTAAAGAAATAAACGACTATCTTGTCGGACCATATTTTTATTTCCCGGTTTCGTGATCAAAAAAATATACACACAAATAGCTATAGACCTGGTAGTGACAATGTTTGCACTTGTAAAGAACGCAACACATAAAAGTTAAAACTGTATTATAACAACGTATTTAATATGATCAATACTGACTCAAACCAAAATACCCTGGCCAAACGAAATAGCGTTAACAGTAACTCAATACAGGTAACTCCTTCGACGGATTAACTTCACTGTTGTTTAAACCTGTTTAATGTTTTATTTATTAAAGGTGAATCAATTCGTAGTAGAAAATAGATAAAGTTAACTATTACAGTAAAGTTACATAATATCAGATAGATGTTACAACATTTTTTGCCAACTCGCTTTACTCGCAATATTTTCGTCTATTATCATGTTTTGACTCTGAACAGCGTTTTATCTTAAATCGTTTCACGACAAAGAAAAGTTCTGTCTATTCGTTATGTTTGGTTACATTTACTTATTCATTTTTTAATAAATGGTATGTACGCGACAATAGGTCTTGTATACGATATTGTACTTTGATTGATCGGTATTTGTTACATGTATTGCCATCTTAAACAAAGAACAATTACCTATATCATTAAACATAATTTGAAAATATAAACTTACCTTGTTATCTCAGGGTCCGTGCTACATGTGTACAAGCATGCTGTTGACAATCCTGCTCTTACTATACTACAGTAGATAACGATTTTTTTTTGTTCATGTCTTGTCTTGCTAAATCAGACGAAATTTTAGATATTTTTAAAGCATGTACAATGTCAGAAGAATTTTGCTTTGTGCTTTACCAAAACTTTGTTTATTTCTTAATTATTCAGTTTGATTTTTAATTATAAAGTTCAAATTTTATCGTGTCAATGTTTATAACAAAAGGGTTTCAAATTTTACACGATAAATATATTGTTGTGAAATATGATATCATGAACATGTAGTTCTATTTAACATCGATTTATTACGCTCTATGCAAACAAAGTTTTCTGTCGCTATCACTGTTGAATGAGGTAATATTGAACGGTGTATGGTGTGTGTCTATCGTATGCTGTACAATAACTTGGTTTACAATTGATATCAAATATATTTAACTTGTGATATATTCGGACTCATCTACAGCCACTATTTGTGCCATCATCTGCATCTAGCAGCAATTGGAACACCTCGACGATATATCTAAGACTGACTTAACGTTTCCGTAAGAATACATGAATAGATCTTAAATTATTTTAAGGTACATTAATAAAATTCTTTTTTTTGTACCATTCTTCTATTATTTAGTAATTGTTTATCTTTTGTAACACCATTGAAACTTTTAATGTGTATTCAAGTAAATTCGCGAAATGTACGGTGTCCCGTACGTTAGGGCCATCACATTACACACAAACAAATCACAAAATTACGATGGCGAAGAGTCGAAATAACGAATCAACGTTCGTAAATAGTTGTAGGTATGATGATGAAAAGTCAAAAGAAAGATTTCACCACCTGTCTGCTCGACTTTTCATCATCGCATTTCCGATTTTTTACCATTGTAGTTTAGTAATTTCGACTTTTCATCACCGAACTTTCAACTTTTCATCATCGTGGTTTTGTTTTTTCACCATCGTGATATTGACTTTTTACCATCGTGGTTTCGATTTTTCTTCATCATAGTTTCGTATTTGCACCATCGTACATCATCGTACCTTCGACGTTTTAACATCGTAGTTGTTCCTTCCTGTCTGGCATGCGCACAGAGATCATACAATGGATGACGATATAAGATAATATGTTTACCAAGTATACAATTACAAAGAAATAATGATGGAAGTATAAGGTTTGTAGAATGGTGAAAACTCGAAACAACAAAACCACCATGGTCAAATGTCAAATGTCGGAAGCATAATGATGAAAACAAGAAATTATATCGAGTTTTTATCATTTCGACTTTTCACTATC